GTGGGCTACAGCCCACTTCTTCAGATGCATAGAATGGAACATACATTGAGGAGATATATATACACACATACAGAGAGCATGAACAGGTGGGAGTTGTCTTACCAACTCTGAGAGGCCAAGTGAAAAAAACCTTCAAAAGTTTTTTTCCCCCACTTACTTAATTGGCCTCTCAGAGTTGGTAAGACAACTCCCACCTGTTCATGCTCTCTGTATGTGTGTATATATATCTCCTCAATGTATGTTCCATTCTATGCATCCGAAGAAGTGGGCTGTAGCCCACGAAAGCTTATGCTCTAATAAATTTGTTAGTCTCTAAGGTGCCACAAGTACTCCTGTTCTTTTTATGTTTTTCAGTGTGACCTCTGTATATCTGTTTATGGAGGTCAAACTGAGAAACCAAATCCAAGCACCCAGGAACTCTAGATCTGACTGCATCCAACTTTAACCATTCTCTCACCCTCACTAATCCACATAAATTAGGTAAATTTTTGCAGATGTAAACAGTATCTCCATAGAATAGAGCACGTGAAGGACTTTAGGTAAAGGATTCTTATACACTTTAAACATAGCTAATTGGTTTTATCTCCCTTTCGTGGGGGGGGGGGGGAAAGGGGTTTGTTTTGTTGTTTAAAATATTGAGTTCTTTGGAGTCAATTTCATCTCAAAATTACACACACAATGAAGTTAAACTTTAAAGTAGGGTTTTCAGGGAATGATTTTGAAATGTGTACTCTAGTAAAAATCGTGTTTGTGATGACAGCTATGTTAATTTGAACTTACCTTTCTAATGGTGTACAGTGAGCTAACAATGGATATCACAGACATAATCACAATCGCTAATGCATAGTAGTAATATTCATCAGTGATCCACAATATTACGCTGAACAGTTGGAAAATGTAAAACGGATTTAGAACCTGAGAGAGAGAAAGAGAGAAAAAACATACTAAGGTTACATCAAATGTAACTCTTCTCCTAAATTAGTCTGAAATAAATTCAACTTATTCTCAGTGGGAGAAACTTAGGCTTTTCAGTTCCTTCTGTCTTACAAAAGATTTTCAAAGTTTTGCCTATGTGGGTCCTGTTTTCCACTAAGATTTCACTTCACGTGCCAGAGTAAATTACAAAATCAGAGTGATTTCCTTAAAAGGGGCCAAATTCCAAAGGCACACAGTTCTCATTGAAGTCAATGGGAGCAGCATGTGCAAGTGAGAGCAGAAGTCGGCCAAAACATTTTCTCCAACTTTTGCATCTCTACTTCCAATGATACTGAACACTTAACAGCATCCTCAAGAAAAAAAGACAATTTTAGCTTGACTAACAAGGGAACTGGTATCCAGACAACTGCCCAGCTGGAAGTCTGGCAAGTTTATTTTCCTAAGGAGCCCAAACTTCAGGAGTAACTGCTAGCTCAATGAGTTTAAAAACCATGTTATCCATAAAAGGGAACAACTCTAGTCATTTGTTTGTACCGCCAAGAGAAGATACAAAGAAAATGGAACAAGATAAACATGCAATTTAGACTCATTCATCTGGTGAATACTCTTATCGAGTCTTTACCACGTTTACAGTTTGAGACGAGTATATTTAGTGCTCACGAGTAGAGACCTGGCAAGAGCCAGACGCAGCATGGGTTTTTACAGTTTAACTCTCTGCATAGAGCTCTGACATTATCTGTAATGCTCTTGTTATTTAGACTCAGAACTGGCTTCTGGGCCCCACAAAGCCTGCAGCTGTTGGCTCCCCCGATCAGGAGGTCTAAGAAATATTAAGGTCTGTCAGGGTTCCCTCCCCACTCTGAACTCTGGGGTACAGATGTGGGAACCTGCATGAAAGACCCCCTAAGCTTATTTCTACCAGCTTAGGTTAAAACTTTCCCAAGGCACAAATCCTTTCCCTGTGCTTGGACGGTATTGCTGTCACCACCAAGTGATTTAGACAAAGATTCAGGAAAAGGGCCACTTGGAGTCCCTGTTTCCCCAAAATATTCCCCCAAACTCCTTCACCCCCTTTCCTGAGGAGGTTTGAGAATAATATCCTCACCAGTTGGGACAATGTGAGCACAGACCAAACCCCTGGGTTTTTGGGACACTGAAAATCAATCAGGTTCTTAAAAGAAGAATTTTATAAAAGAAAAGTAAAAGAATCACACCTGCAAAATCAGGACAGAATGTAACTTTACAGGGTAAATAAAAAGATTTAAAACACAGAGGATTCCCCTCTAGGCTTAGCTTCAAAGTTACAAAAAACAGGAATAAAACTCCCTCTTAGCATAGGGAAAATTCACAAGCTAAAACAAAAAATCTAACGCATTTTCTTGCCTTTACTTACAATTTTTGTAATCTTAGATTCTCATTTCAGTTAGGTTTTTAGGAGATGTTTTTTTCCTGCCTGGTCCCTCTCTTGTCCAGAGAGAGAACAAAACAAAGAGAGCACGAACAAAACCTCTCCCCACCGCCCCCCCCCCACACCCCCATTTGAAAGTATCTTTTGTTCTTATTGGTTCTTTTGGTCAGGTGCCAACCAGGTTATTTGAGCTTCTTAACCCCTTACAGGTAAAGGAGGGATTTTATGCTACCCTTAGCTGTATGTTTATGACAAGGTCAATCTCACAAGTGAAGAAAAGGGTTAAAATTTACTTTATACAAAATAATCCCCATTTGAAACCTCACACACATTCGTTGCCACTCCAAAGATTTATTAATTCTATATAGTACTTTTTTAAATAAAAGAAGTTCTTACCTCCTTAATCAGAAGCTTAAAAATGGAAGGCACTTTCACGGCAATTTCATTTACTCCATAGAATACTTTTCTGTATGGAGGGAGAGCCAAAAAGTTAGTTGCTCTCTGGTTGCAGATAATTTATACCACACTACTGTTATTTTAACCTTAATTATTTTAAAGCACTTTATCTTCCCATTCATTTGAGAGTGTTAGGTGGTCTTTCACACAGGCAATATAGCCTTTTAAATGCTAGGCGAGGATGAATAATAGACAAATGTATCAGCAGCGAGTAGAAAAAAAATTATGTCTGGATGAGACACTGCAGGCCTTGAACGTTAAGTTATTTATGATCTAGGTATTCACTGAACCAATTTTCTGGTGATGCCAAACAAATCTGAGAGGTACCAAGCATACAACAGAAAAAAAACCTAAACACAAAGTGACCTGAAGAGATAAAGACAGTGATCTACATATAATGATTTGTGATGCTACACGAAAACAGAACTGTTGAGAAGAAAAACACATACAAAACCAAAGAACAGCTACCTGGAAATAGTAAGAGAAAGATTTAGAGATAACAGTGGATAGCAAACTACATGTAAGTGTGATGTCATTGACAACACCACATATACAAGAGATGAGCCTGAGCAGGTTAATAATAACTACCGGACTCTGAGAATGAGGGTGAAAGGGTCGGGAGCTCAGGTGGTGTTCTCGTCCACTCTGCCAGTTGAAGGTATGAGCCCAGGCACAGACAGACACATCCTGGAGACGAATGCACAGCTACACAGATTACTTTGACAAGAGGGCTTTCCTTTCCTCGACCATGGTATGCTTTTGTCCACCTGACAAAGAAATGGAAGAGACTTTTGGGACATCAACTTGTCAATCTCGTGAGGAGGATTTTAAATAGTTGCAGAGGGGCCAGCTGACAAAAGCCCATAAGTAGGTAGTAAAAGAGGTGACCCTGAAGAGGGCTGGAAGCAGGGAAGGAGGAGGAAAAATGGAAATTTACAATAGGTCATAGGAATAACAAGAGGGAAATCTCTGCAGGAAATGGCTCACCATCTTAGAAGTGTATACACAAATGCAAGGAATATGGAGAATAAACATGAAGAACTGGAAGTCTCAGTACACAAGCTAAATTGTGACTTAGCTGGCATCTCAAAGATTTGGTGGGATAACTCTCATGACTGGAATATTGCTTGTTCAGGAAGGACAGGCAAGGACAAAAGGGAGGATGTGTTGCATTATACAGCAGGAATATATATACTTGTTCTGAGGTCCAGAAAGAACTGAGAGGCAGACTAATTGAAAGTCTCCGGGTGAAGATAAAAGTGGGGAAAAAAACAGGGGCGACATCATGATAGGGACCTACCACAAACCACCAAATCAGGAGGAGGAGGTGGATAAGGCATTTCTAGAACAAACTACAGAAATATTCAAAACACGAGACCTGGTAATAATGGAACTTTTCCAATAGATATCTGGATAGTAAAAGTAATATGGCAAAACACATGTCCAGTAAATTCTTGGAATGTGCTGGGAACTTCTTTCAGATGATGGAGGAAGTGGCCAGGCGGACAGCCATTTTAGACTTGATGCTGACCAACAGGGAGGAATTGGTTGCGAATCGGAAGGTGGAAAGGAACTTGGCTGAAAGTGATCATGAAATGATAGATTTCATGATCCTAAGGAAAGGAAGGAGTGAGAGTAGACTTTAAAAAAAAAAAAACAGACATTGACAAACTCACAGAACTGGTAGATAAGGTGCCATGGGAAGAAAATCTAAGGGAAAAAGGAGGTCAGAAGACTTGGCATTTCTCAAAGAAACAATATTAAAGGCACAACAGCTAACTAACTCAAATGTGAAGGGAATTTACAATAGAAGAGTTTACACAAGATAGGTAGGTCCAAAGCATGCTGCAGAGTTACAAAGAGATCTCGGTGACTGGGCAACAAAATGTCAGATGAAATTCAGTGTTGCACATTGGAAACCATTCAAAGTAATGCACATTGGAAACCATAATTCCAACTATATATATAAAATGATGGGATCTAAACTAGCTTTTACCACTCAAGAAAGATCTTGGAGTCATTGTGGATCATTCTCTGAAAACATCCACTCAATGTGCCTCAGCAGTCAAAAAAAGCTACCAGAATGTTAGGAACCATTAGGAAAGGGATAGATGATAAGACAGAAAATATCGTAATGCCACTACATAAATCTATGGTACACCCACACTGTGAACACTGCCTGTAGTTCTGGTCACCCCGTCTCCAAAAAGGATATTCGAATTCTAAAAAGTACAAAAAAGGCAACAAAAATGATGAGGGGGTATGGAACAGCTTCTATATGGGGAGCGATTAAAAAGACTGGGACCATTCAAACTTGGAAAAGAGACGACTAAGGGGGGATATGACTGAGGTCTATAAAATCATGACTGGGGTGGAGATAGTGAATAAGGAAGTTTTATTTACCCCTTCACATAACACATGAACCAGGGGTCACCCAATGAAATTAACAGGCAGCAGGCTTAAAACCAGCAAAAGGAAGTACTTCTTCACACAACACGGAACTCATTGCCCAGGGGATGTTGTGAAGACCAAAAGTATAACTGGGTTCAAAAAAAGAATTAGTTAAATTCATGGAGAATAGGTCCAGCAATGGCTATTAGCCAACATGGTCAGGAATGCAACCCCATGCTCTGGGTGTCCCTGCACCTCCGACTGCTAAAGTTAGGACTGGACAACAGGGCAACAATCACTCAAAATATCCTGTTCTGCTCCCTCCCTCTAAAGCATCTGGCACCAGCCACTGAGGGAAAACAGGATACTGGGCTAGATGGACCATTGCTCTGACCCAGCGTGGCTGTTCGTATGTTCTTAGAAGCAAGAGAAAGACAAAGGAAAGCATAGGTCCACGATTTAATGGGGAAAGCGAGCTAATATGACACCAAGAAGTCTGCTTAGAATTTAATGGCTATTTTTGCTTCAGGTCTTTGCTAAAAAGGTTCATTGTGACCAGATGCTTAACCCAATTAATATTAATTACAAGGGGGAAGAAACACAAGCCAGAATAGGGAAAGAACAGATTAAAGAATATTTAGATCAGTTATGTATCAAAGGGGTAGCCGTGTTTGCTGCTTTTACAGATCCAGACTAAGAGTCCTGTGGCACCTTATAGACTAACAGACGTATTGGAGCATGAGTTTTCGTGGGTGAATCTATAAGGACTCTTTGCTGCTAGATAAGTTATACATATTCAAGTTGGCAGGGCCTGACAAAATTAATCCTCATCTTCTTTAAGGAACTAGCTGAAGCAATCTCAGAACCACTACCTATCATCATCAAGAACTCATGAAGGACAGATGACGTTTCAGAGGACTGGAAATGGGCAAACACCCTACCTATCTTATAAAATACACTTAAAAGTACGAAGTTGAAACAAAATTCCTATTTATTAATTATCATTTTTCTGAAGATAAGTGAGATGGGGTGTACCAGGCCCTTTGAGGCCCCCTGCTGGAGGCCCCAAAGTCCCACCACACACTACCCCAGGAAGGAGCAGTCGAGATGGGTCTTCCAGGCCTACCTAGATGGGCCTTGCGGAAGCAGCCAATCAGAGCCCAGCAAGCTCAGATAAAAGGACCTGCAGGACTGAGCAGGCCAGTCCCTGGTTGAGAGCAGACGGGTGCTCCTCTGTGTCAAAGGAGCTTGATGGGCTGCATTTGCTAAACCTGGGAGTGAGAGGATCTGAGAACTCTAGTCCTAAGGTACCAGACAGAAGTAAAGAGGTCAGGTGGGATGAGGCCTAAGGAATGTAGCAGCTATCAAGTAAAGGAAGCAGTAAGTGGCTGCTGTGTATAAGGTCCCTGGGTTGGGACCCTGAGTAGTGGGTGGACCCGGGTTCCCCCTCCCGGCAGTGCTGGAGTGTCTCACGCCCTGAAAAGAGAAACAGCTAGGTTAAAAGCCCAGGAAAAGGGGCTAGATTTAAAGAGCCCTGAGACAGCACCATAGCCTTCAAATCTTTTTCAGAGTCACTGCTTCCCAGGATAGAGTCCCTCATTCTGTTAGCACAGCCTACATTCTTTGTTCCTAGATGTATACATTTTGCTCCTTTGCGTTCACCAAACCCAGTTTCCTCCCAACTTTATCACCTTCACCTCGCCAGCTCATAAGAGCCCTGTCATCTCTCTTACCCACCTTATTGTATATGCAATTGATTTCTGAATCTTTTGACAATTTGTGGATTTGAAACGATTATTGAGCATCACAAGAATTTCCTGCCAGGAATTAAGCAATTAAAGCCTTTGTTTTTCAAAGACAATAGGCGCTCCGATTCCACTGTTAACGGTAATGCTATTGCGGAAAAAATGATCTGACACAAACACAGTTGAAGAGACTAGAAAAAAACATTTCTATCTATATTCAATGCTGATATAAGCAATGACAAAGGAGACCACTCAAATGTAATATGATTCCTCAATTCAAGGTATTCTTCTGAAGGGAAGTTTAACATCCAAACCACACACACTGATCACACTTAATTTTATTCATTTATGAGAAATATACCATAAACACAGCTATCTAATAACCATGTACCTTTCTGACATCTCTTAGATTCATATTTTAGTCTGAATATTGTATTACCTGTAGTCATGCACCTCCTTAGTCAAACCTTTACTATGTTCATTATGAATTGAAGAGCAGGAAGTAGACTCATCCAGTCCCCTAAAATAATTGTAGAAATTAAACAAGTTCTCAGAATCAAGCTTCTTAGCTAATATTCTTTTTTTAAATTTCCCATTAAGATGCTTAGGAACTGTAAAGACCAGACATTTTTATTAGACGTTTAAGTTGCATTATACAAGAATATTAAAAAGCAGTCAGTTATGAATGTCATTCCACTCATTTTTGCCTAGTTATTGCAAGTATCAATTAGGTAAATTAAAGACTGAGCAGAAGACCACTGAATTCATCTCTTGGTTAGGTCAAGTCTGCCCTTTGGTTTTACATCACTTATTTTTAAATTTAAGTTTTTATTTTAAACACCTGTGTAACTAGTATTGGACGCTTCCACAAAAAAAAAAAGGCAAGAATTTATTTAATTTGAATTTAATAAAATGGATATGATATGGATTAGCTTTGACCTATAAATTACTATTCAAATCCCTCTTTAAAATTCTTTTCAATGAGGCCTACAAAAACTGACAACAATTAGACCACTGGTACAATGAAACCACTGCCATTGTCTTATTGTTTCCTTCTTACCCTCCCCCCCATACAACCTTAATTCAACCCCATTGTGCATATGCATTATGATACATTTTTAAATTATATGACATACCAATTTTCCCACAGGACCTCTGCCTCATTCAGTGCACAGGATGGATTCAATATTTCTTTTTATCTTCATCATTCAGTGTGTGGCCCATGTATTTACTGCACATCATCCAAACACTACCCTAAATACAGAATTATTAGTTTCCTCATGGGTTTTCTATAGTGCTCATAGTATCATTTTACCTCTTTACAAAGATTAATGAACTTATCTTCACAACATTCCCGTGAGGTGAGGTGGTATTCAGTTTCCTCATGTACAAAATGAGGAACTGGACACAGAGGTGAAAGCCAAAATTGTCAAAAGTGTCCATTAATTTTGGACAATCAATTTAAGAAGCCTAAGGCCTGATTTTTCAGAATAGTTAGCATTTTATAGCACTTTATATGTTTGACAGCAGAGCTCCCATGCACCTCATTTATAGTTGTGAACGCTTAGCTCTTCCGCCAATCTGACCCCAGGCGTGTTAAGTTGGGTACAAGGAAAATGAGGAACACATGTTGGCCATCGGAGAAATTCTGGTTGATGTGACTTGCCCAGACTCACATAGGAACTCTGTGGCAGAGGCCAGGATAGAATTAAATTCTCCAAGGGAGGCCTTAACAACAATGCCACCTTTTCTCTTCCTGCAGTTCCCTGCCACATTCACTGTGCACTTTCCAACTTGTGCAACAAATGAGACAGGGGTCCTACACTGACAACAACCTCGTTCACTACACAACCCTGCTTCACTCCCAGAGCACAGGAGAGAAAGTCTCATGTACAGAGTTTCTGTGCCTAGTGCCACAGCAGTCCTGGCAGATGAGATGAGCAACTGCACAGGAGACCCTGCTCAGGGGATGGAGCACCCTAATTTACTCTGCGGGAATGGCATATGCACAGTCCAGTTCAGCAGGTAGGAGCTGTGAAGGAATGAAGTATGTTCAGCGCAGATGGAATCTTCAGAGAATTTAGCAGCCAAGCTCTAACAAACTTCTTCTAAACACATGCAAACAGATTTTTCAGAGGCTTTTTCAAAGAAACAGAAAAAGGCATCCATGACACACAGGCAGCCCCCTCTGCCAATGTCATATGTCTGCTCCAAAGCATGGAAGAGTTAAAGCTTCTTAATCAAACAACTGGCAGTTTTGTTTGTGGGGATTTTTAACAGGGGGGGGGGGGATACTTTCCCCTAATCTCATTGTCTGAAACAGATGAACCATTTTAGCTGAAAGTAAAAACAAACAAACAAACCAAAAACCTGCCACTCACACCTGAGGCAGACACCTCTCATGGAAAATCCAACCTAAACAGTTTAAGTCTGGCAAACTACAAGCAACTGAAAATAGGGTCCTATAATGCAAAGTGCTGGGCAATGTTACCTGTAGGCATTGCTGCCACATTGCCTCTAATTATGGTAAGTTTGGGGATTGAATATAGACTTCCAGTTACAAGATCTTTGCACTCAATTGAAACTAGCCAAGATATATATTTTTGTCCCCAAAAAAGACAGTAAGTTTCCTTACAGTTTTATCACTACTTGTACTCTGATGTAGTGGTTTTGCCAACTTTTCATACTACTTTTTACAGATTTCTTTAGAAAGCAAGAAATGTTTGTGGGGCAACATGACTGACAGGCTTTCACTTACGTAGCAAAGTTCCTTAATAGTGGGGGTTTAGTTATTTTTGCTTGCCTCCCTTACCCCACCTACCTTTTTTTTTTTTGGAGGGGGCCAAACATGAACTGTGTCCTAGACTTGTTTTAGCCTTAGGAGTTGTTTGTTTAGATGGCTGATCAGTCTGGTGAACCGGTGGTTAAGACTGCTTAAGTATGGTTAAGACAGCAGTTAAGCCTTTGAGCTGTCTGAATCTCCCACTGTAGCAAGCTGCTGTTCGAAAGTGGAAAAATGGGACCGTGTGTTCGTTTTGCCTTTCAGCATTGAAAGGAAAAGCTTATCTGCAGGGCCTGACATTGGTAACTTTCTTCTTGAACCCTGATGCCCCGTGCACCGCTACTGAATGAGGGAGGCGGTGGAGCTAATAACGCTCGGGAAAAGCATCTGGGGCTGTAACTCCATCTGGAAGCACTGTTAGGTCAACAATTTTCAGACCAATTTCATACCTCATTCTATTACTAATGAGAGAGTTCCAGCTCAGAAGCAGGATTAATGTGGAACGGCTGGGGTACATTTATGGACAGCTGGATAACTGGCCACTGGGGTGTAATCCCTCCCTCCCTCTGCTTTGGACCTGACTGAACAGCAATGTAAGAGGTGACTATTCCTCCACTGTGCGCTCTATATTGAATGGTTGCAAAAAAAAGAAATGTCACTTAATGCTGGGCCTCTGAAACAGCTTGCATCCACAGGCTTGCCTGACTTTGGGAAACGAGTGACGATCCCTCTTACCCTCTTTGACCTCCACATTTTCCTCCTACATCTCTAATTTAGACTGCAGATCACTACAAAAAAATCACAAGTGACCTAGAGCACAGGGGATATGTAGAAGTAAATCAGAGTGAAAGGTTTCAGAGTAGCAGCCGTGTTAGTCTGTATCCGCAAAAAGAAGAACAGGAGGACTTGTGGCTCTAATAAATTTGTTAGTCTCTAAGGTGCCACAAGTCCTCCTGTTCTTCTTTTTAAATCAGAGTGGACTCACTCAAGAGTACACCCTCCAAGAATCAAAAGTTATAGAAATATTCTCCTAACTTAACTCCAATTAAAGAGAAAATTACTCTTATCAGCTCCGTAGGGCACCAAAACAGAGTTATGGCTAAGGTACTTACAACCAGATTCTGCTCAAAATAAGATGTAAATAAAAAGTCTCAGAAGTGATAGGCCCCAACGCTGTGATCCCAGGAAGTGGAAGTCATTCAAAACAGTGGTTGAGAGAGTTTTGAGCACCTAGACACATGATCCAGGCAGAGGACCTAAACTTACTCACATTTCACATGCAGAATTCTCACCAACTCCAGCTGTGCCTCAGGGCAGGATGGCTCAACATGGGCCAGGAAGGAGGAACACACATATAGTGGGGCACAGAAGACGTCGGTAGGCTACACCTCTTCCCCAACAACAAACCAAGCCTTCTTAGGGGATGTCTACATTGCAGTTAAAAACTCAGGGCTGGCCTGTGCCAGCTGACTTGGGCTCGCAGGACGGATTGATTGCCGTGTAGATGTCCAGGCTCAACCAGAGCTGGAATGTCTACACTGCAATTAACGAGCCCCACAACCCAGTCCTGCAAGCCCAAGTCAGCTGGCACAGGAGAGCCCCAGGCATCGACATACTCTTAGAGATGTGGTGTGCTAGTCAGTGGATTAACCAAGACCCCCGCTAGCAATCAAGAAAACCCTGAAGTTCATTGGGGAGATGGAAAAGGCTCAAACCAGAGAAAGATTCACAAGAAAACAGAATTGGAAAACAGTACTGGAATACTGTCATTTTTTATAAGCTTTCTGGGAACACAGTTATGGCTACCAAGAAAATACGTATACTTGCTCTGCAAGGCAAGGGTAAAAAAGAAGTGTTCTTACTTTTTGAAGTCAAAACTTTGGACTGCATCATTCCAGAAATACATTACGCTGTGGTGTGTGAAATAGCGAATCTGTAAGGCAAATACATGCAATTAGGTATTATGCTGGCATTGTTCAACACCCGATTTCTATTTCATTTAGTATCATGTTAAAAAATTATAACAAAACTGAACTTAAATTAGGTACACTATAAGTTTTAAAAATGAAATACAAAATGTTTCCTGTGTGCTCTCTCTCCAATACTGACAATATATTTTATACAAGATCGTTTACTTTTCAATAGTCTTATTCTTTCATTAATCCCACAATATACAGATGCACAAGATCTGTTACACTTTGTGACTTAAAATATAAGAGCACATTTCCCTACCTCAACCAACTGGCCTCTTTGGCAGTCTAAGCAGGTCACATGTATTGTACTGTGTGTGAATAATATGTATTCTTTTCATAGCTGCCTTGAAGATTAAGGATTCAGATACCACAGGTCCACTTACAGGAGAATATTTGTTTGGGTCGTTTCTATTCTCTTCAGCAGGGCTTTCACATGAATGACCACTATGGCCATTTGAAACTTTGTCTTCAATAGACTGAGGATTCTGTAATGGGTTGTCTCCCAGAGAACGCACAATACGAATCTTTGCACAAAACCATATCCTGAATTCATCCTAACAAAGAAAAAAATTGTTAATCGAGAAACAAATTGCAGAATACTGTTTAATACCTTGTAAGGATGTATAAAAGTGAACCTAGGGACATCTTTCTTTTCTTTAATAAGTACCAATGTCAGGTGGAAAACAATCCAATTAGCAAGGTCCACATATACTTACAGAAATGAAAGACACCATGGGATTGATACCAAATTACCCCAAGGACAAGGTTTTCCCTTTTATTTATAAAAACATTTTACCACTAACTCCACATAACACTAGCAGAAAACTTTCAAAGCTCTGATGTGTGCTAGTGAACCCTCAGACTCAGTTTTGGAATCTTTCGGTTTTTATAAATAAATGGCATGGTATTTCTTCCATATATTCAACAATAATTTATTATTTCAGAGCACGAGGGGGATTGGTTTACGCTAAGTGTGGGGGAGTGTCACTGGTATAGGGGATAGGCGATACAGAAGGAATAGCATGAGTGAAATGACTGCTCCCCTTAACTATTCAGCTCCCTGTTTTTCTATTTCTGGGCTATTCTGAAGTATAAGATTTATTGTATAGAAATATTGGCACTTTTTGTGAGTGTTCTGCAGAAACTTTCAACCTTAATTTTTAAAAGTATCGGGGGGGGGGGGAATTAATTTATACATGCATAGCACTCCCAAATGTGGAGGTGATGTCCATGTGAAGTGGCAAAGCCATGTGATAAATTGCAGAATTATGTGATAAATTTACTACACACCTTTGTCTGCCTCCTCCTGCCCAGGAAACCAACTACTCTGGGCCTTATTCTAGCTTTCAAAATTCATTAACAGACAGCAGCTACCATTTTATTTTGCAATTAATCTGCCAGAGAAACTTTATCCTGTAAAACGTGGAGTCTTCCCGAAAATTACACCTGACCAAAGCCCAAAACAAGCAAGATCTAGCCTTGGGTCAGTAACAAACTTTCCTATACATAAGCTTTATACCGTTGGAAGAGGGAGATTTCCAGTTTCCCAATGGGATCCTGAACACCTACTTCTAGCCCCTGGGGTGCCAGAGATAGTTTCATATATAATATATGTGGGAATAAGTAGAATGGATGCAAATAATCTTGCATTAATATGAAGATGGTGTTGCATAGCTTTGTCCCCACATTTTCCACTTCTCCTGTTTATATCCTCTTCCTTTGTACAGGACTTGACATTGGTTGAATTAAGTAATTAATACCAGATATCCACTCATAACCTGCAATCCCTGATGCTTTAACCTCTCCATGTCACTTTGTAGTTTATTTCTGTCCTCTTCTATCTAGACTGCCTCTCCAATTTGGTGTTATCTGCACATTTGTTCATGGCTGAATTTACATCAAAGAAACATTGGAGAAAGAAAGACATGAAAAGCTGTGCAGAGCTTTCTTAAGGGTTAGAAATGAGCAGAAAAACTGTTGGAAATCCTAGCAGTCCTGAACGAGGGCCACAACTAGAAGAAAGCATTTTTGTTAGATGCGTGATGGATGTTGCACCATTGTGACAGAAGCTGTTCTGCACATCACTGACGGTAGCTTGAGAACCTCTATATTATGCTATACAAAACTCTGAGGCCGGTGCAGCAACAGCCTTAGCTCACGGCCTTCCAAAACCAGGTCTAATCAGTTCCTGAAATCTTCTATACAAAAGAAAACTAAGTAGGATATGAGGAGTAAATCTTGGAGGAAGATAGTCTTCTTTAGACATTTACATACACAAATTAAATTCTACAGTAATATTGCTTTAGCTAAAAAGGACACTGTCGAGATATTGCCTGTATATTGTTCATATATTTTGCCTGTGCACCTACCTTATAATCATCCTTTCTTGAGAGTAAAATCAATTTCTTGATATTTATTTTTCTCAACTATTAAATAGAGTTATGAATGCAAACTATATGGAATAACGAGTGCATGACTATCAAACCTTTTGAAAAATCCTCTTAGCGAAGATGTTAAAAGTTTCACTGAATGCTATTTAGTTTCTATTACTTATTTAGGCAAACACAAAATACTAAAGTATCAAAAGTCCTTACTAATAACAGCAAACGTCCTTTGGATATTCACCATTCTTCTCAGACACAAAGCTACACAAGCAGAGTACAATCTTTTACAAGTTTCATAGCAAATAGAGTATTTTTTCTGAAGTCCTCATGATTTAATTTACCCCAAAGCCTCCTTCATGTTTTCAATTTGCTTATCACTGGCAAACTACCCTGATCATTTATTTATAAACTGTGATGCAAAGGAAGTAATATCACTAAGGTTACAAGCCTGAGAGCTGACAACTACCACCTCTAACTTTTCTGTTTCAAACACTGCATTCACAAAACTAGAGCACATTCAATGTACAAACTTACAGTCGTTCTCAGTAGCACCACTTCACAGTCTTTAAGTGTAGTCCTTTTGCACGTTGCTCTCACACGCCACTCAGGCATCCAGTAGAGGAGAAGGAGGAGGAAGCCACCAGTACAAAGCACCCCTATAGCAACTAAAACTAGCTTCCAGTGGCACCGATTATAACCATAAATCTCCTGTACGGAAACAGGGAAACAAATAATGAACAAAGATATCCTTAATTGCTTTGGCTGAAAAATTCAGGAGTAACCTGTTACAAACTGTGGCAGATAAATGTGTCATATTTCAAAGGTTTTTCCTCCTTTTCCTTGCTAGGGGGAGGGTTCAAAAAAGTTTATTCATTATATTGTGGCTACTGCTTCTGTTCAACGCTGCACATAGACTCATTAAAACCCACAGAAGTGCTACATACACACCAATTTAAAAACACTGCAATACAGACACAGACTCCTCCCTGGACTGTTCCTGAGGCAGTTATGCAGGGAAACTTACGTTACAATCTAACCTTTAGTTTTTAAGGACCTGGTTCTGGTCCATGGTTCTGAAGATGTAACTGGACATGGCATGCAAGCCTGCTCTACACCCCAACAACTGCTGGGAACAGTTTAGTATACTTCTTTCTGCTCACAATCAGACAACAAACTAGGGTGGATAAAACTGATAATTTTGGGGGGGGGGGGAAATGATTTTAATCTTTTTTATTTTATTTAAATTATATAGTTTTTTAAATAAACCTGTTAAAATGAAATCTGAATTTAATACAAAATATGTTAGGACCTAAACTTATTATAATGTCTTACAACAATTAAAAAAAAATATGCTGAATACATGAGCCTCTATCAAAGTCTTTGAGTTAAAGACTGCTTTTCTATATAAAGAAAGAATCAGGGGTAAAACATCTAATTTTTAGGTCAAGCTTTATAAATAGGGCACTATAGGTCATGTATTGTAGTAAGGGCTTGTTTTGTTTAATAAAAATACATTTTATATGCTGTTTTGGGTGTTTAATTAAGTTTCAGTTACCATCCTAATGCAACATGATACAAATCACGAGCAAAAGGTTAATTATCTATAAAATAGCATATCATTCACCATTTTCTAACAGACTAAAATGTACAATTAATAATCTGAAAATATTAAGCTTTATAATTGCTTCAACAAAGGTATATAGTTACAGTGTACCCTCCCAGGCAGGGAACAAAAGTGTACCAAGTCTAGTGTAAAGGCTCTATTTAGCTGTAAATCAGCATGTTTTAACTGTTATTATATCAACCAATGAAAAAGCATCTTCTTTAGAAAATAACTAGTACAAGTTGTTTAAAATCGAGGACTTAAATCAACACTTTGCTGATTTAAATCAGGCTGACTGACAAATGGGTTTCATTCTCTGGGGAAGAAATAAAAAGGGGGTAGTTGGGAATGGGAGGAAGGCATGAACTGAGGGCTTGGCTACAGTCGGGCGGCAGCGCTGTGAAGTGCGAGTGTAGTCGCGCCGCCAGCGCTGCGAGAGCTCTCTCCACCTCTCCGAGGGGAGTAGCGTGCAGCGCTGCAGGCTCTGATTACATTGGCGCTGTACAGCGCTGTACTCGCTGCGTTCAGGGGGGTGTTTTTTCACACCCCTCAGCGCAGCAAGTTGCAGCGCTATGCAGCGCTATACAGCGCTAGTGTAGCCAAGGCCTAAGTGTTTCAGTGCAGTAACACAAAGGAAACTTTCAGATGCTGAGCTGTATTTCCTCTGTCTCAGATTACACGGAACAGATTTCCTGCTCTGACGTATCAGTGAAATGGAAGCTGTCACTGGGACCCACCAGCATCATTCACATTGATGAAAATATGAACACTGAACAATATTTGCAAAATCTCTTTTTGAAATATCATTACACTCTAATTGCTAGAGCTCTTATTTTTGTCAAAAGGTTTTTTTTTAGGGTTTTGGCCAGGACAGTCCCTTCTTTAAGCCCTGTCCCAGCCATCCTGACTTTTTTGGAAAAAATGGGTGTTTGTCCCATTTATTCTTGCCAACTTGATCAGTTGGCCAGAGCACATGGGACAGATGCTCACTTTGGTCAAACAAGTTGGATGCAGAGGAAAATGCTGGGTGGGGGTTGAGCTACAAGGCCAGCCCCTCGCAAGGGGGGGGGGAGGAGGAGCAGGGAGCAGGCAAGCAGCAATGCCAGCCCCTTGCGGGGGGGTGGGGTGGAGGGGGGAGGGGAGCAGGGAGCAGGCAAGCAGCAATGCCAGCCCCTCATAGTGGGCCGGGGGGGGGGGGGAACGGGAGCAGGGCTCAGGCAAGCAGCAATGCCAGACCCAGCCTTGCACGGGGGGGCTCATGGGGACTGTGCCTTAAGCAATATGCCCCAAACAGAAAAGCAACATTTTCTTCAATTTGTGAAACGAGACCATAAAACTGATTACCATCTCATCCTCCTCGCCTGTATTGACAATCTTCTTTTCTTCCTTTTCCATGTTTACTGAGATAAGAAACTTCTCAACTTCAGATACCGGAAGACCTCTAGCAAGAGAAGTATTAAAAAAACAAAAAAAAAGGGAAAAAAAACACTATTGAAGCAATATTTTGACTACTGTGCACAGGCATTAACTTTTGATGTGTCATTGTCATAACTACATTCACAACATGCATGTACATGAAATGCACTGACACAACCTGCTTTCATCTAACTCTTAACAGAATTTGTGACCATAGTAGATGTTGAAGTATTTTGCTGTTCAATATACAGAAGTGCCCACTAAAATAGTTAAACTTTAAAATTATTTTTCAAAACCCAATTTTATTCTAGAAGTCTATAAACTGTTATTTGACAAATGTAAACAGATATAACTAAAAATGTACTTCTAGCTACTTAGATGCCTCACTAATATTAGTGAATTTAATCTCACAACACCCTTGTAACGTATGGAAATATCTTCATTCTAAAGATGGGGAACCAAGATACATTGAGATTACGTGATTTGCCCAAGGTCACTCAGGAAATCTGTGGCAGAACCAAGAAGTGAACCCAAATCTCCTCACTCTAAGTTCAGTGCCCTGGCCATAAAGCCATGCTTTAATTTCAACTTGAAATTGGTTGACACCTCTAACTGAATTTTTTATTTATTATTAATTATTATTACTATAACATTATATATAATATTATATCAAGACTAAAGCACCTCGGTAAACATACACACCATTATATATCCTTAGTATGAACTGTATTTTTAGATTCTTATGGAGGTGGAAATGCACAGCTGGAGAGCAGTACCAAACAGAACACAAGAATTAGAAATTCTTACCAAATTTTTTTTTTTTTTTTTGGTATTGTGACAGCACCCAAGGGCCCCACTCAGGAGCAGGCCTATACCACGCTAGGTGCTGAACAAA